AGTCACAGACGGTACTGGACCAGCTCCTGACAGACTAGCGGCAGCCTCTCCCCTACACAGACACCACACCAAGTCCACCAGACCGTCCTGTAGCACCACAGAGAGTCACAGACGGTACTGGACTAGCTCCTGACGGAGTAGCGGCAGCCTCTCCCACCCACACAGACACCACACCAAGTCCACCAGACCCCCTCTGGTACCACACAGAGAGTCACAGATGGTACTGGACTAGCTCCTGACGGAGTAGCGGCAGCCTCTCCCACACACACAGACACCACACCAAGTCCACCAGACCCCCTCTAGCACCACACAGAGAGTCACAGATGGTACTGGACTAGCTCCTGACGGAGTAGCGGCAGCCTCTCCCCTACACAGACACCACACCAAGTCCACCAGACCTTCCTCTAGTACCACAGAGAGTCACAGACGGTACTGGACTAGCTCCTGACGGAGTTGCGGCAGCCTCTCCCACCCACACAGACACCACACCAAGTCCACCAGACCCCCTCTAGCACCACACAGAGAGTCACAGATGGTACTGGACTAGCTCCTGACGGACTAGCGGCAGCCTCTCCCACCCACACAGACACCACACCAAGTCCACCAGACCTTCCTCTAGCACCACACAGAGTCACAGACGGTACTGGACTAGCTCCTGACGGAGGAGCGATCTAAGCGACGTCAGTTTTTCGTTATTTCCTGCGAGCCTGTCCACGCGGCTTTATCGATAGACCCACGGGAAGTGGATTTTGGCGTTCGCGCGAAGCTTCAAGTCTCCACAACGTGAACCTCTTTCAACCTCACAGCAGCGGCATTGAGATCAGCAGCAGCAACAACTCATGGCGGGCAGCCGATAAACAACAATGGGGGTCATTGCGTCAACCACCGAGTGTCTGTGTGTCTGTGTGTGTGTGTCTGTCTACTTTGGGCTCGCCTTCCCATCAACCGGAGGCGAGGAATGGTGGTCGTGGTTACTCATGCTACCCACCGAAGATGAACATCCGTGGAGGGATGCAGGCAAAGCCGATGAGTCAGATGGTCTTCTATGACCTCCTGTCACAGGTGCTGGCTAAAGTGGCCCCTCGGGATAGAGTCATCTTGTTGGGTGACTTCAATGCCCGAGTTGGTCATGATGCTGGCACCTGGTCTGGAGTGATTGGAGGGCATGGGCCAGATCAGCTCAATAACAACGGTAGGAGGCTGCTAGATTTTTGTGCAGCCCATGGGCTTGTAATTACCAACACGCTGTTCCGGCATCGGCGCATCCACACAACATCATGGATGCATGCCGGGTCCAAGCAAGAACATCTGCTGGACTACATAGTGATGGACCAGCGGATGCGAGCCCATGTCCTTGACACCAGGACCTACCGTGGAGCTGATCTGCCCTCTGACCATCGACTAGTCATCTGTAAGATGCGCCTGCCATTTTTCCACTCCGGTGGTGGGTGTACACCCAGGACCCCATTCTAACCTAAAGTGGCCTGGTCTCAGTTACCTGATGAAAGTTGCAAGCGAGAATTTCATCATCGCTTGCGGCTGGAGTTGGCATCGTCCCCGACTCCTCCTGATGTCGAGGGTAAATGGGCGAGGTTTAGGACTGTGACTCATACAGCTGCAATGGCTGCTTTGGGTACGCGGTCCAGACCTCCCCAGAGACCCTGGCTGACAGAAGAGGTGTTTAGGATGGTTGAGAAAAAGCGACAGGCCCACTGTCATCGGCTACAGAATCCCACGTCAGAGAATGAGGAGGCTTACCGCAGCCTTTGCTCGGAGGTTCGGAGAGCCGTGAGGCGCTGCAAGGATGGGTGGTGGTCGCGGGTTGCTGAGGAGATGGAGTCTGCCTCAGTGGCCCGTGATCACAAATCTCTAATTTAACTCCATCAAAAAAGTAACCTGCAGCGCCACACCTATTACCATCATTAGGGGAAAAAACGGTGATCCAATCTTCGACCCCCAGGAACAGGTTTGCAGATATGCTGAGCATTTCTGTGAGGTCATGGGGGAGGGAAAATCCCTCAGCCAGGAAAACATCGTGGCACAAAGTGAGGATGACCCTGCTGAGGCTGCGGTGCCTCAAATATTGGAAGAAGTCACCCCCTGTGAGTGGCTGGCTGAGGTGCCATCTGCTGAGGAAGTATTGAAGGTGATCCGGAGTCTGAGACCAGGAAAGGCAGCGGGCAGAGATGATCTCCAAAGCGAAATGCTGAGGGAGGGTGGCGTTTGTGCACAGACTGCCCTATTTGACATCATAACAACAGTCTGGACCACTGGACGGGTTCCGCAGGATTGGAAGGATGCCCTGGTGGTCCCCCTTTTTAAGAAGGGGGACCGCACAGACTGTAACAACTACAGGGGCATCTCACTCCTCAGTGTGCCGGGAAAGGTCCTGGCAAGGATCATTCAGCATCGCCTTGCCAGGCACGCTGAGGAGAGGCTTGCGGAGCCCCATTGCGGTTTCAGGAAAGGGCGGTCCTGCACAGATGCCATATTTTCTGTCCGTCTGCTACAGCAGAGGTGTAGGGAATTCCAACAAGACCTACATCTCTGCTTTATTGACCTGGTCAAGGCCTATGATACCATCAGTAGGCCTGGGCTCTGGGTCGTTCTTCATGCTTTTGGAGTACCTGACCCTCTGCTCACGATCATTAAGGACCTTCATGATGGTGAGCGGGCCCGGGTAAAACTACGTGGCCGGTAGTCAGAGCCATTCCCTGTACACCTTGGGGTGCGACAGGGATGTCCTCTGGCTCCCACATTATTTAACATCTATTTTGACCATGTAGTTCGTGAAGCCTTCAATAGCTGTACCGGGGGAATCTCCATATGGTACAGATATAATGGGAGGCTGATCGATGCCCGGGTGCGGTCAAGGGATGGTTCCCTATTGCTCAACCACGTAATGTATGCTGATGATTTTGTAATAGCTGCTCAGTCAGAGGAGGAGTTGGAGACGCTGCTGCTGAGACTGGAGCGTGCCACTAAGAGGTGGGGCCTTACCATCAGCCCCACCAAAACTAAGCACCTGCCTGGGTATTTTGTACCATCGGACACTCCACCCCCATACCTGGGCAATGTGCTTATGACTGGATCCAGTTTTACAGCAGAGGTCTCACTCCGAATCAGTCGAGCGACAATATCTTTTCATCGGTTGCATAACGCTGTGTGGAAGCTACCTGGTCTGTCGCTCCGCACTAAGCTTCAGGTCTTCTCGGCCACGGTCATTCCCTCCCTTCTCTACGCTTGCGAAACGTGGACCCCCCTAATGGAACATCTTCGCCGGTTAGAAACATTTAGGCTGGCCTGCCTACGATCCATCCTGGGTTTAACCAGACTGGATTGTGTGAGGAGCTCACAAATCCTTGAAAGATCTGGGCAGGGTCCCATCGGTGAGCTCCTCCGGCGGGCAAGGCTGCGATGGCTGGGTCATGTAGCCCGCATGCCCAGCCACCGCATGCCGAAACAGCTTTTGTTCAGCCAGATTGAGGGGACAAAGCGGGCGCGGCACGGGCTAGAGAAGAGATGGAGTGATGTGGTACAGGAGGACGTGGAGCTGAGTGGACTTGCCGATGACTGGTACCAGCGGTGTCAAGATCGGCCTCTGTGGAGGAGGCTCGTGAAGGACGCTACTGGGCAGTTGGAGGCAGTCGCCCTCCAACAACAACGGAGGGCGGAGGAGCGACGCTCACAACAACGAGCGGAGCGCCGGGTGGCTAAAGCACAGCAGGTTGGCACAGTAGGGGGCACAGGTGGTGCACCAGCCAGTCATCTCAGTCAGTCGACCCGTGGCACCTGGGTCTGCCCCGTGACCTCCTGCCAGCGGGCGTTCGACACTTCACGTGGCCTCAGGGTGCACATAGCCTGGTACAAGCGTCGTGGTGACGTCACCGCCACTTATTGGCGAATGGCGGTTGTTGTGTTGTTGTGTGTCTGTTTCACTGTGTCACTGTGTGTGTGTGTCTGTGTGTGTGTGTTTCACTGTGTATCACTGTGTGTGTATCACTGTGTGTGTCTTTCACTGTCACTGTGTGTGTGTCACTGTGTGTGTGTCTGTATGTGTGTCACTATGTATGTGTGTCACTGTGTGTCTGTGTGTGTGTTTCACTATGTGTTTGTGTGTGTGCATGTGTGTGTGTGGTGTGTGTCACTGTGTATCACTGTGTGGTGTATCACTGTCACTGTGTGTGTGTGTCTGTGTGTGAGTTTCACTATGTGTGTGTGTGTGTCTGTGTGTGTGTGGTGTGTGTCACTGTGTATCACTGTGTGTGTATCTCACTGTGTGTATCACTGTGTGTATCACTGTGTGTGTATGTATGTGTGTGGTGTGTGTCACTGTGTATCACTGTGTATGTGTATCACTGTGTGGTGTATCACTGTCACTGTGTGTGTATGTATGTGTGTGAGTGTGTGTATGTCACTGTGTGTGTCACTGTGTGTGTGTATCACTGTCTCACTGTGTGTGTGTGTCACTGTGTGTGTCTCTGTGTGTGTGTCACTGTGTGTGTGTACACTGTGTGTTACACTGTGTGTATCACTGTGTGTTTATCACTGTTTGTGTGTCACTGTGTGTGTGTATCACTGTGTGTGTATCTCTGTGTGTGTATCACTGTGTGTGTATCACTGTGTATATATCACTGTGTGTGTACACTGTGTGTGTGTGTATCTCTGTGTGTGTATCACTGTGTGTGTGTATCACTGTGTGTTTCACTATGTGTATGTACACTGTGTGTGTACACTATGTGTGTGTGTACACTGTGTGTTACACTATGTGTGTACACTGTGTATGTACACTGTGTGTATCACTGTGTGTATGTACACTGTGTTACACTATGTGTGTATGTGTACACTGTGTTACACTATGTGTGTATGTGTACACTGTGTGTGTCACTGTGTGTGTGTGTGTATCACTGTGTGTGTGTACACTCTGTGTGTGTGTACACTGTGTGTGTGTGTACACTCTGTGTCTGTGTCTGAGTGTTTTGTGTTGCATGTTGAGTTACCTTCTCCCGGCTGGTTTCTGGGTTTGTCTCTGAATTCGTCATCACCATGACGCCTGTCAACCTGCACACACACACAGAGACACACACACAGTCACATAGTGATACACACACAGTGACACACACACAGTCACACAGTGATATACACACACAGTGATATACACACAGTGACACACACACACACAGTGACACACACAGAGACACACACACAGAGACACACACAGACACACACACAGTGATATACACACAGTGAGACACACAGTGACACACACAGTGACACACACACACACACAGACACACACAGTGATATACACACAGTGACACACACACAGTGATACACACACACACAGTGATACACACAGTGATACACACACACAGACACACACACACAGTGATATACACACAGTGACACACACACAGTGATACACACACACAGTGATACACACAGTGACACACACACAGACACATACACACAGACACACACACAACAACAACAACAACAACCGCCATTCACCGCTAAGTGGCGGTGACGTCACCACGACGCTTGTGCCAGGCTATGTGCACCCTGAGGCCACGTGAAGTGTCGAACGCCCGCTGGCAGGAGGTCACGGGGCAGACCCAGGTGCCACGGGTCGACTGACTGAGATGACTGGCTGATGCACCACCTGTGCCCCCTACTGTGCCAACCTGCTGTGCTTTAGCCACCCGGCGCTCCGCTCGCTGTTGTGAGCGTCGCTCCTCCGCCCTCCGTTGTTGTTGGAGGGCGACTGCCTCCAACTGCCCAGTAGCATCCTTCACGAGCCTCCTCCACAGAGGCCGATCTTGACACCGCTGGTACCAGTCATCGGCAAGTCCACTCAGCTCCACGTCCTCCTGTACCACATCACTCCATCTCTTCTCTAGCCCGTGCCGCGCCCGCTTAGCCCCCTCAATCCGGCCAAACAAAAGCTGTTTCGGCATGCGGTGGCTGGGCATGCGGGCTACATGACCCAGCCATCGCAGCCTTGCCTGCCGGAGGAGCTCACCGATGGGACCCTGCCCAGATCTTTCAAGGATTTGTGAGCTCCTCACACAATCCAGTCTGGTTAAACCCAGGATGGATCGTAGGCAGGCCAGCCTAAATGTTTCTAACCGGCCAAGATGTTCCATTAGGGGTGTCCACGTTTCGCAAGCGTAGAGAAGGCAGGGAATGACCGTGGCCGAGAAGACCTGAAGCTTAGTGCGGAGCGACAGACCAGGTAGCTTCCACACAGCGTTACGCAACCGATGAAAAGTTATTGCCGCTCGACTGATTCGGAGTGAGACCTCTGCTGTTAAACTGGAGCCAGTCAAAAGCACACTGCCCAGGTATGGGAATCTCTCCACTCTCTCCACAACTGCCCCATCACCGATTGGGAGTTGTGGGGGTGGAGTGTCCGATGGAACAAAATACCCAAGCAGGTGCTTAGTTTTGGTGGGGCTGATGGTAAGGCCCCACCTTTTAGTGGCACGCTCCAGTATCAGCAGCAGCGTCTCCAACTCCTCCTCTGACTGAGCAACTATCACCAAATCATCAGCATACATAACGTGGTTGAGCAAAAGGGAGCCATCCCTTGACCGCACCCGGGCATCGATTAGCCTCCCATTATATCTGTACCATATGGAGATTCCCCCGGTACAGCTATTGAAGGCTTCACGAACTACGTGGTCAAAAAAGATGTTAAATAATGTGGGAGCCAGAGGACATCCCTGTCGCACTCCAAGATGTACAGGGAATGGCTCTGACTCCCGGCCACGTAGTTTTACCCGGGCCCGCTCACCATCATGAAGGTCCTTAATGATCGTGAGCAGAGGGTCAGGGACTCCAAAAGCACGAAGAACAACCCAGAGCCCAGGCCTACTGATGGTATCATAGGCCTTGACCAGGTCAATAAAGCAGAGATGTAGGTCTTGTTGGAATTCCCTACACCTCTGCTGTAGCAGACGGACAGAAAATATGGCATCTGTGCAGGACCGCCCTTTCCTGAAACCGCATTGGGGCTCCGCAAGCCTCTCCTCAGCGTGCCTGGCAAGGCGATGCTGAATAATCCTTGCCAGGACATTTCCCGGCACACTGAGGAGTGAGATGCCCCTGCAGTTGTTACAGTCTGTGCGGTCCCCCTTCTTAAAAAGGGGGACCACCAGGGCATCCTTCCAATCCTGCGGAACCCGTCCAGTGGTCCAGACTGTTGTTATGATGTCATGTAGGGCAGTCTGTGCACAAACGCCACCCTCCCTCAGGATTTCGCTTGGGAGATCATCTCTAGCCCGGTGCCTTTCCTGGTCTCAGACTCCTGGTCTCGGATCTGTGTCTGTGTGTCTGTGTGTGTGTCTGTGTGTGTGTGTGTCTGTGTTTGTGTGTGTATCACTGTGTGTGTGTCTGTGTGTGTGTGTCTGTGTGTGTGTATCACTGTGTGTGTGTCACTGTGTGTATCACTGTGTGTGTATCACTGTGTGTGTCTGTGTTTGTGTGTCTGTGTCTGTGTGTGTGTATCACTGTGTGTGTCTGTGTTTGTGTGTCTGTGTGTGTGTATCACTGTGTGTGTCTGTGTTTGTGTGTGTGTATCACTGTGTGTGTATCACTGTGTGTGTGTCTGTGTGTGTCTGTGTGTGTCTGTGTGTGTCTGTGTGTGTGTGTCTGTGTGTGTGTATCACTGTGTCTGTGTATCACTGTTTGTGTGTCTGTTTGTCTGTGTGTGTGTGTCTGTGTGTGTGTGTGTATCACTGTGTGTGTCTGTGTTTGTGTGTGTCTGTGTTTGTGTGTTTGTATCACTGTGTGTGTCCGTGTGTGTGTGTGTGTCTGTATCTGTGTGTGTATCACTGTGTATCACTGTGTGTTTGCGTGTGTGTGTCTGTGTTTGTGTGTGTATCACTGTGTGTGTCTGTGTGTGTGTCTGTGTGTGTGTCTGTGTGTGTGTATCACTGTGTCTGTGTATCACTGTGTGTGTGTCTGTGTGTGTGTGTTTGTGTGTCTGTGTGTGTGTCTGTGTGTGTGTGTTTGTGTGTCTGTGTGTGTGTCTGTGTGTGTCTGTGTGTGTGTCTGTGTGTGTGTGTCTGTGTGTATCACTGTGTCTGTGTGTATCACTGTGTCTGTGTATCACTGTGTGTGTGTCTGTGTGTGTGTCTGTGTGTGTGTGTGTATCACTGTGTGTGTGTGTGTATCACTGTGTGTGTCTGTGTGGTGCATCAGCCAGTCATCTCAGTCAGTCGACCCGTGGCACCTGCTGGGTCTGCCCCGTGACCTCCTGCCAGCGGGCGTTCGACACTTCACGTGGCCTCAAGGTGCACATAGCCTGGCACAAGCGTCGTGGTGACGTCACCGCCACTTAGTGGCGAATGGCGGTTGTTGTTGTGTGTGTCTGTGTGTGTATCTGTGTGTCTGTGTGTGTGTGTGTCTGTGTGTGTTTGTATCACTGTGTCTGTGTATCACTGTGTGTGTGTGTGTCTGTGTGTGTGTGTGTCTGTGTGTGTGTGTGTCTGGTGCGATGTGTAGTAAACATCGCCACTGGGGAGACAAAGGCGGTCGGGCGTGGTGCTGGTAGCCACCCACCCCCTCGTGTACCGTTCCGGCCTTCATAGGTGCTCGCTAACAGCACTTGCCCCTACAGTCTGTTAAGGCTATATGGGGGATCTTTTTGTGTATGTGTGTGCATGTGTCTGTGTGTGTTTCAAATGCAAATCAATTCATAACATTTTTGACACGCGTTTTTCTGGATTGTGTGGTTGTCATTCTGTCCCTCACTGTTCAAATAAACCTACCATTAAAATTATAGACTGATCAATTCTTTGTCGGTGGGCAAACGTACAACATCAGCAGGGGATCAAATACTTGTTTTCCCTCACTGTATATATAATCGATAATCGATCAATAATTATCTATATATAATCTATAAGCTATGAATACTAATCCATAACCTATATATAATCTATAAATAATAATCAATTTTTTATCTATAATCTATAAATAATATCAATATATAATCCATAAATAATAATCAATATATCATCTATAATCTATAAATAATAATCAATATATAATCTGTAATCTATAAATAATAATATATAATCTATAATTAATAATCAATATATGATCATTAATTTATAAATAATAATCAATATATCATCTATAATCTATAAATAAGAATCCATCTATAATCTATAAATAATATATACTATATAATCTATAATTAATCATCAATATATGATCATTAATTTATAAATAATAATCAATATATCATCTATAATCTATAAATAATAATCCATCTATAATCTATAAATAATAATATATAATATATAATAATAATCAATATATGATCATTAATTTATAAATAATAATAATCAATGTATCATCTATAATCTATAAATAATATATAATCTATAATTAATAATCAATATATGATCATTAATTTATAAATAATAATCAATATATGATCATTATTTATAAATAATAATCCATCTATAATCTATAAATAATATATAATATATAATCTATAATTAATCATCAATATATGATCAGTAATCTATAAATAATAATCAATATTTAATATATAATCTATAAATAATAATCTATAATATATTCTGGAGACGCAGTGATGGTGATGGGGTAGGGGCGATTTGGGCCGCGTGCAAAAACGCTGCGGCAGTGACGTCACAAAGGGTGCATCACGTGGTGGTAGTGGTGGTGGTGGGTGGGGGGAGGTAGAGGAGGGCGTCTAATTTGCATAGCGCGTGGCCGTTATGCAAATTTTTCTTTCCCCGCGTGTGCGTTTAAATAAATAAATAACTAGCCCGCTCATTCACTCGCTCGCTTCGCCCGTTAAATCGGATTAAAGTCGTCACTTTGGCAACCAAATCTATGGGGATAACTTAAGAACGAATAAAATAAATAAAAATAAATTTGCGATAGCTGAGGTAAAAATCTAATGCTACTCTCTAACCAGTTTTAAAGCAGATTGCGTTTTGATAGCGTTTTTTTAAAATATATAATAAAACAAATAATAAACATTATAAGAACAATTCCTGTCTAATTATAATGTTATGATGATA